TTTAATTCTTACAACAATCTCTTGTGAGTTCAGTGTATTATCTGTTTTGTAGATGAGGAAACTGATGGTTGAGAGACAAAGGGACTCCCTCGAACTCACATGGTTCAGAAATGGTAGAGTTAGGATACCACAGAAGTCACTTGGATTCCAAAATTCCAGGTCCAACTGGATTATGGAAAGGACAGTGGCATGTTCTTTATTTTTTTACTATGGCCTTTTAAGTATGCCAAAATCAGAAAGCAAAATAAACATGAAAGCGAAGTCCTGTATATTTTATGTTGCTAGTTAGAGCAGAACAGCCGCTATGCAAGCACTGGAGTGAGGGCAGTATAGAATTTTGGGAACCTAAAGCTTTTTATTATATATTTCAGGTTTCCCTATCCATTAAAATAAAGTTCAGGGGTACGGAGTAGTCCTGCATCATGAAAGAAATCGAGTCTACCTATTCTTTCTGTTACACTTTTGGTGGGATTTATATGTATTGAGTAATGCGGGCATACAATTAAACAGGATAAACCATCCCATTTCCTTGTTCCCCAGTTGCAATGATATACAAACTAGTCTACTTCCCTTTTTGACTCTTACTTCAAAGACGTAAGTATTTGTTTGCCACAAGAAGACTCTTAAAGGGGTAGGAGTACTTATTTGAGGGAACTGCGAAGGGGCTGCAGCGGAAAGCAGAGGTAGATGAGTGTGGGGACTGGTTTCTTGGTTCTTTCAAATTATTTGTGAGGCTGAGGCTGGCTTGGTGGAGTGATTCCTGCTAATGTTACAATTGGAAATTTATTTTTGTTTTTAAAACCTTGTTTTAATGTCTCTGTAAAGTAAGTCCACCCACCTTCCCTCCCGACACTCTACGCACACGTGTGCTTAGTGTGTGAATAATGCAAAAGGGAACATGGAGGACAACTGCTACTTATGAACTGATAATGAAGGGAAAGTGGCATTTCAGCATTTGGGATTGGTGGTGAGTCCTACATCCCATGAGTCTGGGAAAAAGGAAGCATTATACAAGCATAGTCTTTGAACAGAAGGGGAAAAGTAAAACAAAACAAAACAAAACAGAACAAAAAACCCAGAATATTCAGTGTTTAGGATCATTTCATCTGGAGAACAAAAGCCTATGCTAGGGAAATTATTCTGAGGGTAGTGAATTCATTTCATTTCTTACATATGTCGGATATCCTGGAAGGAGAGCAGGTGGATGATGTCAGATATCACGCTTTCATTCAGATGTTTATCAAATACCTGCTTAGTACCAGTCACTAGTGGTTGCGGATACTATAAAGGCTACAGAGACGATGTGGTTCATGCCCTCCCTGAGCTTACAGTCTAGTTTAAGGAGCACATCACAATGTGACAAGTGCGAAGTCGATGTGACAAGTACAAAGATCGAAGCACACGTCTCTGGGAAGCAAATAGCCAGGACTCAGGAGAGATGGTTAGTTTTCCTGTGTCAATTTGGCTAGGCATTAGTCCCCAGTTATTTAAGCAAAACTTATCTAGGTGTTGCTGTAAAGGTATTTTGTAGATGTGGTTAACATCTGCTATCAGGTGACTTTAAGGAACGGTTACCCTAGATGATGCGGGTAGGCCTCATATAATCAGTTGAAGGTCTTACGAGCAAAAACTGAGGTTTCCGGGAAAAGAAGAAATTCAAGACTGAAGTATCAACTCTCCACTGAGTTTCCAGTCTGCCAGAGCTGCCATGGTCATTTCAGATGGCTTCCTCCGCCCCACGGTCCTGATCCTATGTGTCAATTTCTTAAAATAAATCTTACACACACACACACACACACACACACACACACACATTCTGTTGGTCTGTTTTTCTGAAAAACTCTACTGATACAGCCTTAGCCATGTAAAGTTGGAGAGAGGACTGGGGAAGATGTGTGAGGAAAAGTGACAGGAAGGCCTGGGGTTGAAGAGAAGCCACCAGGAAGCACATTATATGTGACCTAGAGAGTCTGAAAGGATTTTAAGTTTGGGAGAAAGGATCAGATTCACATTTTAGAAAGGACATCCGATTTTATTATTATCGAGAGCAGAAGTCAAGAAAAACAGGTTTCAATTCCAACAGGAAGGAATTCCTAATAAGGAAGAGATTTTTAATAGTAGAAAGAGGTGCTGCTCAATCTATTCCAGAATTTTGAAAATAATTAGGCATTTCTGATGGCCAGAGTCTTGTAAAAGGCTTACGACGTTTTTTTTTTTTATTTTGTTTTTGTTTGTTTTGTTTTACAACCAAGAGGCTTTCTGCTCTACCTTACGGCCTTTACGTCTATAGCTTTCACTAGAAAGTTCTTGAAACTGGGAAAAGATTCCTATCTGGCCAAGCAGGCTTTCTGGAAGATAAACCACTCTTCCCTCCCTCCCTCCTTCCCTCCCTCCTTCCCTCTCTCTCTTTCTCTCTCAAATGGCAGTGGAGGTGGGAGGGTGGAGGTCAGCTGGGGATTCCGGCTGAGAAAGTGGAAAGGAAGAGAGAGTTTACAAACGGACCGAAGTTCCGCTAATTCGTGTGTGCGAGAGGACTCGCCTGTTACCCTGGCAGCCCAGACTCGGCGTGCTTCCTACCGGTCCGCTGCGGGTTCGGTTCCCCCAGCCCAGTCCCCACGAGTCCAGCTGCCCCCGCGCGGCGGGCTACGAGTCTCGGCAGGATCTGGTACTTGCCAAGCTGGGAGTGTGCGGGGCGGGGGGACTCGGAGTCACACTGAGGTCCGAGGTCTCCCACAACCCCTGCTCTGCCGAGAACATTCGCAGCCCCTCTCCCCAAGCAAAGTAGTCTTGCCCTAAGAGCCTAACCGATTTTTCTTCCATTCTCTCTGCGTCCCTCGATGTCTTCTCCCTGGCTCCCGGTGCGTTCCCCATCCCTTTGGTCCAGAACATTCTGATCAGAGCTCCCTGCCCAGGTCAAGCACACTTGGAGATGGGGTGGGGGGGTTCCCCCAGGCGTAGACCAGGGGAAGCCAGCACCCTCGTTACCGCCCCCACTCCAGGGGCCTCGGGACGCCGAAGGGGCACTTCTCTGTATTACCCTGGGGAGTCAAAGGGAGAGGAGGTGCCCGAGTGCCGGGGTCGGAGGACCCGCGCCCCCCAGAGCTCGGTCTCACACCCGCACCCCGCGCGGGAAGGAGATGGGTTGGAGCCCAGTGTGCCCGAGAGTGAGGATCTGGGGAGGAGGCAGGGTTAGTGGAAGAGGCTGAGGGGAGGAGAGGCAGCAGGTGAACCCAAGGGCTGCGTCCCCGGGCGGGGAGGCGCCGAGGGGGACTTGGGAAGGGAGCATCGGGCAGGAGTGACGCGGGCGAGGGCTAAGCTAGCAGGGGATGCGGAGAGGCGAGCCCGGGCGGTGAGAGAC